AATCCGGCTGAGCCAACCCAATACAATATTGACAAGTTGATTTCTTAAAACAGTTCATCTCAAGTGAGATGCCATGAGGAGCCATTTATGCGTTGTTATGCACAGTGTAACTAACCAACAGCTTTCCGCAGGTCACGTAGAAAATTTTTGGGAGGGAGTATACCCGTAACTATTCATACTAAACCCAAATCCTTTGTTAAGTAGTTTTAAGGGTAGTAACTCACAAGAAACTTTTACCATTGCCTTATATTTAACAAACGGATTCTAGGACCTATTTATTGGTGGATCCAAGTGAACGCGAGGAGCGTGTAATGGATGGTGTCCTTATAATTGCCATGAATAAACATCGTGAGATTTGTACTATCCAGTCCAGTGGAGGAATTATGCTGGTAAAGGATCAGGTAAATCTTTGCCTTGAGCAGGTTTTCTCTTATCTATAAATTCGTTCCTGTCCTGTAATCCTGACAGTGAAATGCTGTTGATGTTTAGAAGCTAAGAAACCAATCAGCTGTCTGATTTAATTGGAAAAGGTTATGTATTTTTAGTCCTAGTGGAAAAACATAGTTCTCTGTATCATGCTGAAAAAGAAACAGACAAAAGGTGTATTATTTGGCCAGATCCATAACTTGTTTGTTTTTTTCCTTGGGATGTGTCAGAGAGTGTCTCTAAATTAATTCAGACTGCACTCATGAGTAGCTAGAGACTGTTTTTGTTAGGTTCTGCATCAACTCATAACGTCTCTGATCCCTCATACTAAGATGCTGTATTTCAAGTGTTTGTGACTCCTGTGATGTTTGACAGTTTTAGTTGAAAAGATCTTGCTTTCATGATTGTAAACTGTTGTTGTATGTGTAACAAACAGGTTCTGAGATGCAGTAAAATAACAGCTGTTAAGGTTGCAGAAATAACAGAACTAATTCAAAAAGCCTTGGAGAATGACCAGAAAGTCAGGTGAGTGTTTTGGGAAGGAAGGGAAATGGGTATTTTTAGGCAACTTAATAAGAAATAATGTCAATCCACAGTTTCAACAGCAAATTGTTTTCTACTTATTTGTTTTAAATGGCAAATATTAGTATTTTTCAACTTGAAAAGAGAAAGCATTTTGAAGTGCGAAACGTCCTGAAATCATGTCTATCACTGCATGATTAGGAAAGAAGGTGGGAAGTTCGGCTTTGCAGAATCTATACCGGATCAGAAGATCACTGCCTTCAAAATGGAAAGCGCTGCTGTTGATACCAACAACGTGGAAGAGCAAGCGGAAGAAATAATTACTAAAGCTGATCCTCCTTCAGAAGTGTATCTTTTCTGTTGTGATAGGGGGAAACCAGGCTTCCCATCGTCCCCTACATTAGCACTACTAGAAGCCAAACACACGTGCGAGATGCCTCACAGTTGCGGTAGCCTTACAGCCTTCAGAGGAGACATCAGTGTCATACTGGGTTTGGTTCTCACTGCTTTTAGCTAACTTAACTCCCAGCATGGAGTGCAAAACCGAGGTCTGAAGCAAGTGTTACAGTAACAGGAAAAGTATGCTCGCTCAGCTTCCTTTTTAAGGACATTCTCCCCTAGGGAGAAAAGATCCAGCTTTAAAACCAACTGTTTTGCTCTCAGAATACCAAGACATTTTCTTAACTAGTTCAGTTTTGCCAAACCAATATTGCACACTCCTGGGACAGCCCAAATTGGGGAAGGAATAGAGAACTCCTGGGACGACCTTGAAGAATCCGAAAAGGAAGATGCAGCAGAAGAGGAAGGTGAAAGCGAGGCTACTGCTTTGGAATGCCAGAAAATGGAAACTGAGGATGCAAGCACAATGAGGGAAACCAAGAGTAAGTATTTATCTTGTTAGTGAAGTGGTATAATAAGCATAGCTGATCTTAACAGTCTAGAATTAAAAGGAAAGTTACACTCACTTGCTACTTTCACAGGTCCCTTCTGTTTTTTTTAAAAGAAAACTTGATTTCTGTAGTATCTGGAAGGCTCCCAGTTAAACATGATCCACTCTGAATATTTCTTTTAAAATACTGTGGTTATTAGTTATAAAACTGATCACCTGTTTCTCGTTTGGTTTGTTTTAGATGAACCTATTGTACTGTCTGACAGTGAAGAGGAAGAGGTTGTCATTCTGGAACCACAGGAACTACCAAAGAAAACCAGGTAACCATCATGGCAAAGTCAGAGGGGAAAGGAGCTTGCAAGAGCTATTTTCAGGAAGCATAAAATTTGGCAAGGCCAAGAAAGGTCTCTGTTGATCAAGGGGACTACATCGATAGCTGAGAGCAAGGAATTTTAAATCTAGAGAAGTTTCGGGAGGCCAGTCATCCTGGGTGATCTGCAGCTGGTTAGAGATACCATCATTCCAAAGGGATTTGAATCAGCCGCTCCTTAAGAAGGGCTGCAGGGATTCTACACACTGCACTCAGCTAATCTTCAGTTTGATCTCCAAGAAGTGAAATTTATTGCTGTATCCCCCCTGTAGCCATGGGAATCCTCTTGACGTGTGCAGTACGCTTCTTAGAAACTAAGAACCTTTGCACTGAGCATGGTGAATGGTCGCCCCGTTACAGATGGCCAGTCTGCATTCTTTTGAAACAAAAACTACCCAGGGCATTTCTTAAATACAAGTATTCTTTGCTCACAGATCACAGACCAACTCAAAACAAGAAAATACCACTAAGAAAGCATTTAGCAAAAGGAGAAAAAAGAAGAGAGCTGCTCCTTAAAGCCACCATCTTTCCTTCAGAAATGCTGTATGATACATAATTTGGTCTGCTTTTACTCAACTCATTTGTGTAGATAATTTTATTTCCTCCCACCTCATACCTGGTTCTGCTTTAGTGCATATTTTATAAGACCTGTTGTACACAGCTTTCAATAAAGAAGTTTTGCATGTAAGTGTAATTCCATGGTTAGCATCCGGCTGCGGCAGCAAACTCGCCAGTAAAACTTTGAACAGACTCGCCTCTGCAATTCCACTTGCAGGTTTTAAGATGCAGTTTTCTTAACAAAAAAGCCTGTGCCATTACTGACATGAACTACAGTCAGAGTTCACGTAGTAAAAGGAATTACAGCTCAAGTTTAATGCCAGGAAAGGCTTCTTGTAATTAAGGTAGCTATTACCACTCCTTGGAAGCGTTTCATACCTTGGTGTATTCCTCAGCAGGATTGATGACAACTTTCTTGCCCATGTCACTCTGCTTCTTACCTTTCACTGCAACAACTTAGTTTAATAATCAGCAGAAACAGACATACTTCACAAAATAGCATAGAGCTTCTGCAAAACTTCCATAGAGAAGCAACTCACACTTCAGCAATGGAGTTTCTGAGAAAGTTTAATTAAATATTACATGCGACAGACAAGAATGCTTCTTGAACCGTATTCCAAGAAGTATGCTCTGCCTTAAGAATTGGGCAAAACAGAGACAAGCAGTTTTCCAGGATACCTGACCCAGCAGCTTTGTGCAGAAACCCAAGTCGATTGGAAACATGCACATATTTACAAGAGCAAAGGAGGGCTAATTCACATATGACCTTAGTATTTCATATAACATGAACAGGGGAGAAGTCACTGTTGCAGCTATTACATTCCTCAAATCGGGTTTAGAAATTAACATTAAAAAAAAAGAAAATGGCTCCCAGACAAGCAAAGATTTATTGAAGTTGTGCTCTTTCAGAAAGGCCCATTCCTCCAGGAGCAAAACAAGTGCATTCTCTGAGTGTCAGCTCTTCCAACCTGAAGTCAGTGTCAGAACTACAAGAAGGAGTGAAGATTCAGTTTCTTCTTACCTCCACAATACTGCGAGACCATAAACTTATCGTTGAAAAAGAACACTGTTACTTGCACTGCTTTGTCTCTCTTCACAGATAACATATCATAGCCTGCATTCCTTAGAGGCTTTATTTTCGAAGGACTAGGATAAATAGACAGAAGAGCACTACAGTACAACCTGGGATATTTTGTTCAAAGCTTAGCGAGAGCTGGAGTTGTCCCTTATTAACTTTGGAAAAAGAGAAGATTGAAAAAGATGGTATTTACTGCAGCTGCAAGAGTGTCAACAAGGCACATAGTCATACTGGACAGAGATGCCAGACCAGAACTGAAGCATTTTTTTAAGCTGCAGAAGAGGTCATACCAGTATGTTGTAAGTAAAGCTCAGGGCAAGGGAGAATTTTTCTCTGTGCTACAGTAATAGTAACAGAACTTCCATTACAGCAAGAAGATACTTCATAAAGCAGTAAATTAATGCTATGAACCACTCAAATTTTTTAAGTACTGCTACTTGATCTTTTCTGGGAAAAAGAATTCACAACCTGTCTTTAAATTACTCTTCTTCCAATGTTCATGTTTCTCAGTGGTCTTCAAAAGCTTCCATCGTATGCCACACACACAAAAAAAGGGTAAGGTAGAACCTAGTTGCTCAGGAAGAGTGCTGTGCTCTATTGTCTTCCAAGAATAGTTGACAGGCAGCATTTTTAGTGGCCCTTCCAAGGTCACAAACTGATGGTTCAACTGTGGTAAACACATTTCTGTGTATACAGACTCCCTCTCCTGCAAGGTCAGAGCTGACTAAGCACCAGACACGATAGATACACTGCAAAGTTGTTTTTCCCCCCAGCTAGTTTTAGCTTTTCAGTGGCAACCTACTGAAACTAAACTAAAGGCTATTGGAGAACATGGTAGACAGATGAAATCTAGTTCTTTGTTAATAATTGAAACATTTCTAAAAATCAAAGTGCATGCTAAAATGCTCAAATTGAGCTAATAAGGCAACCTCTGCTGCGCACTTTCTTCTTGACTGGATAAGCCACCCCTGCTTGACTCGATCCATTTTGGAAACTGAGTCAGCTGAAGAAGGGCTCAGGCTGCAGAGGAGGGATGGGCAGAACAGCAAGACATTCAAGATGTCTCACTGGAACGCATTCTTGTCAAAAGGCTGGTGTTTTCTTATTTTTTTAAAGATTTAAGTAGCCCACAGCATAACAGCTGTTCAAGCTCCATGAAGAATTCACACTGCTACCCACTGGGTGTCCAGATAACCAAACGGACAGTGTTGAATCAGCTTCAGGGTGAGGTGGTGCATGGGCAGCCCTCGCCAAAAAAACTCTAGAGATGAATGCCAGTTTAAGATGGTAGTGCTACCCCTCAGTGGTTTTAAGGTATCGGCAAGACCACTAATATTAGATGTTAAAATTGTTTATTAGCCAACCTGGAAATTGCTCAATTAAACCCATTTCCTCACACTCACTGCTTTACATGCAAAGAACAACAGGTACAGGGCAGCATCGCTCCAGTTACACAGGCTGAAGGTAAACATCCACTTGATCTAATGCCAATTAGGTGCTAGTGCGCTCGTAAAACCATTCTACAACTAAGGAAAGTTGAGACCAGTCGCTCTACATTTTTGCTGCCTGCCATGGAGGAACCCTTCCCAAGCAAGGAGAAGGTACCGAATTCACACCACTCTGCACACAGCCTGTCCACGCCAAAAGACATTCCCTCCCCTTGAGGGCACTGAGCAGCTGAATCCCCTCACTACCCCTAAAAATGTACCAGGTAAGACGAGCAATGGCTTTAAGTTTTTTTAGTAGGTATTGATGGGCTTTCAAGACAGCTAACAAATCAGTGGGAACTCCACGGGTTTAAATTAGTATCAGCTTTAGACTTGGACTAGAAAATACCTATACCAAGACTGTTTTCTATATACTGGAAGAGATAAGGAATGCGTACACCGGCAGTTTCAGCCGTGCAGCCCCTGCAGCAGAGCGTTCAGCCTTGAACCTGATCGAGATCTGGCGATAACTTTACAGAGCAATCAAGGCATCCAGTAGCTGGCACATCCTAAAGAGCTTCGCAAGAATCAGTTCCAGCAAGGCGTTCTCCTCATAGCTCTCTAGTGTCTTCCAGCATTACAGCCATTAAGCCACATTTTGGATCTATACTAGGTCTTTGTTTAAACTAGATAGTATAAAAAATGCTACAAATACTGCTGTGGAGTCCAAGTCATTCTTACCTGGAAGGAGAAAAAGCCCTACTATAGTAATGCACTGCTAATATTCATGTTTAGTCTATAATGAGATAAGCAGTCTCAGATTTCAGTTGGTCTGCATGGTTAATTCCGCGCTTGAAGAGAACATCTTTATAAAAACCCAGCTAAATATTTTAACAAGATTGCATGTACATAAGATTTACATTAAAACCACATAAAACTAACTTCATAATGAAGCTCATCAAAACCTGTATTCATCTTCTGAGTGATCACATCTAGAGTCTTGAACCATGTTTAAAACTGTACATCATTTTCTTGTAATATACATCTTTTTAAAAGACCAGTCTCTTGATTATTACAATAAGTTTAGTGTCTCGGGTGGGTCAATAAGCGATACTCCATGGTACCTAGAGAGGGGGGAAAAAGACGCAGGATGTCATCTCGCTCAGGTGCTCTCTGCCATAAACAGCACACACATTGCAGCAAAGCACGTTTTTCAAGAAGCAGGAAACATTTTGGGCCTTGTCGGCTGCCGTGCCAACACAGATTTTTAGGAGGAAGAGGTACCGCCTCTTGCCTACCCACAGTAGGCACGTCAAGAACATTCCTCCAGTTTCTGCCTGACCTTTCAGGTAGCGATAGCAGGCCTGGTGATGCACACTGAGCACTGCTCAACAAAACATCGTGCAAAACCCTGGCAACCCTTGTCACCATTTCACTCACGTGGCAGAGTTGGTTATCTGAGTGTGACCGAAGACTCGAGATGCACAGCCCCACCCCCTCAGGCAGTTCCCATGAAGCAGTTACACGCTAAAACAACTAGGGCGTAACATACCAGCCTCTAGTAGGTCTCTACAGATACTCACTTGGTACTCTTGTACTTTTCCCTTATGGACTGTTGTGTGTGCTGTGCTGCTTTGAGGTAGGTGTTGTGGAGGTCCATGAGGCAAGGCTTGATGTCTTCAAGGCTGTAGCCTGTTACTTTGCACAGGGACTCGGGCTGTGGGGAAAATCAAGAGAGACATTCGAGGTTTTTCCTTTTGCTTATGCCGACGACCACTGGCAGCGTTTTTAGCATCCCCTTGAAACTCTGTTTTTCTAGTACGTTGGCAAAGCATAATTTTCTGAGGCACCAAGTAGTTTAATACCCCCTGCTCAGACTTCAGCAGTTTGTGTAGATGTACAGCAATCCTCAAAACTGTCATACTCTGAACAAGTATTCATTGCCTCCAGTACTTGGGCACTCCAGTGCTTTCTCATCACTAAGAAGCTGCTGACAACTTTGAGGAGGATCACTGGAACAGTGCTGGCACCAGCAGATGCCTCTTCCTTACTAGAAAAGGTGTGTCCTCTGCCCCCATTTTTCAAATACTACAGGGAGCAATCTCTAACTAACAGCCCATGGGTGTGGAGGGGCTGCAATTCCTGCATTCAGAACTGCATACAAACACACTAAACACCTGAAGGTGTGTGAAGGCTCAAGTTCTGGTGCTACGTACCCAAGTTTGTCCAGTGATCGTATAGTCTGCTAGGTAAAACGCTGCGGCAGCAATAACTGATGGCAAGTATTTCAAGTAAGGATCAGCATCAATTAGACTCAGCTCCCCAAGGTACTGCAAGGGAAACGAGAGAAAGGGAGTCAGCTTGCTTCTAAAAGGAAGTAGAACAGCATTTAATAGGCACACTAGAACCCTAATTTAAGCTTCCAGTCCCACCATCAGTTGGAGGAACAGCTT